AAATAGGGAAGGGTGGAGGGGGTGAAGGGAGGGCTAGGAATGGAGAAAAAATAAGAACCAAGATGCATCATGTAAAGGTACAATTCCCAAAGAGAAATGTAATTGTGTTGTATACCTACAATGTACCAATAAAAGAATTTAATACAAAAAAAAATGGTCTCACCTGTTCATTTGTATGGCAGAAACTAAAATCATCTTTTCCAAGTTTTACATACCGAATCCCATTGGAGGATTTTACACCTATGAGTTTAGATGGGAAGAATTGCCATCTTTAAACCATTCATATTTCTCATTCAGAACATAGTACATTCATCTATTTAAATATTCCTATACAGTAAGTCTTACTTAGGAACATTTGAGTTGCGAACTTTCACAGGTGTACTGTATAAGACTCACTTTGTCAGATATGAACGAATCTGACTCATTAGCTTTCCCCTGGGACAGAACTTGTTCATAAGTTGGGGAATTGCCGTAATGCTCTTATTAACATTTTATAGTTTCTCTTATATAAAGTAGCACTCTTCCTTCTCAGGTTACAACTAGGCATTTTATGAATTTTCATGTTTCTAGCAATGGCACCCTTTCCATATTATCCTGGAAAGTTTTCTAATTGTGTATCACTGGCATGATGCCAGTTATTGTGCAAATATTGTGTGGCAAATCTGAAAGTTTCCTAGCTAGTGAAGCTGATCTCCTTGCCCCAGCTCCTCTCCCTGCCCCAGTCATCCTGTTTTCTTGCTTGCCCGACACCTGTCAGTTCTCACCTCCTTAGCGTCTCCTGCTACGCTGGGTAGGGGCCCCTCACTGGCTCCCCAAGTACAATAGCTCTTCCGTGGCTGGATCATAATCACAGTTACCTACGTGTGTCTCCTTTCTGCTCTGTGAACTCAGGGAGGACAGAAAACATTTACAGAGCTGTGTTGGCACCAGCTAGCCTAGCGGTAGAAGCAATTGCATGTTTTGATAGGCTAATGAGGGGATGATTGAATTCTAACAGCTCTGTTCCTTTATTGGAGCAGACAATATTGACTCTTAATGAAAGTGATAACTCAGTGTTCTGTGATTGTATTTCCAAATAGGAAATAAGAGGTCAGTACGCATTTTGTGTGTGCAGAGACAGTCCTGCAGATAAGACAAGACGGTGGGGAGGGAGGAGCCTCTTGGTGAGACACTGGCCACTGAAGTCAAGTCACTAACACATTTTCTCCATCGCTGTTCATCTAGCTGCAAATCAACCTAACCATGTCGTAGTAAAATGTTTCCTCCATTTCACCATTTCCTGTGAATTTCCAGCAGGGAGTGGTGGTGGTGGTAGTGGTGGTGGGTGAAGAGTATCAGAAAACTCACGGTAATTTTCGCGATTTCTTGTGAATCTTAAAGTAATTCAGTATAAAAACCATAAGCATAAATGCTAGAATTACATCATTCCCACCACATTGGTGTCTTTTGCTTGAACTTATCGAGCTCACACCAGCTCCTAGAGAGCTGTTATTTAAAGAGAGCTGTGGTACAGCTTCAGGTGGTGGAGAAGGACAACAGGAAGGATTTCACTCACTTATTTGAGCTCCCAGAGGGAACAGGACGGAGATACAGCAAAGGGAGGGGATGTGAGGCAGCGTCTTACCCGAGGCTAGAAGGGCGGGAGCAGCAGTCCTCCAGGTGGCTGCGGTCCCTGTAGGAAGGTGATCTGTACGCTCTGCCAGCACTCTCACTGAAGCAGTAGCTGTCTCTCTCCAGAGGGGCGTCCCCAGAGCAGACAGTGGGTGTGCGGGGCTTGTCCTCAGCAGCATTTGCTGGATTTGGGTTACAGGCTTGGAAGAACTGGTGGTTACCCTGGTAGCTGCACCTGCAGGGAGATGACCAATGGCAGCCTCGGGTGCTTGACACTTTGGACACTAACAACAGCTGAATCACCAGAAGACCACTGGACAGCCAGAATATGGGATGCAGAGGTTGCAACCTCACTCTGAACAGTATCAAAGTCACCTGTTGCTTCTTGAATAACCACAGAAGCCAAAATACCAGTCTCCAAAAATGCTGTGTGATGGACCTCTGTGACTAGAAGGCAGAGTTGTTGGACCTAAAAAGTACAGCACTTTTAATGTGGGTCTTGGTCAGACCCTGAGCCTCAACAGCTTCTTTCAGCCACTTCACAACCCTCTGGCCACCTACAGCTCCAGTCTTTGTCTCTGGAAGAGGAATTAGGGCACCTCCGTGTGCTCTGCAGGTACAATGGGAACCTGAGGCAGAATTTGGAGGAATCAAGGCAGACAATATTTGAATGATGGGCCCCGTAAAGACAGAAGGGTAGATTTCAGAGAGAAATATAACCAAATGCTGCTGTTTGTTCTAGGAAGAAAAGAGAGAGAAGCTCAGATGTTAATTTTACCCTGGCCCTTCCCCAGGGACAGTGAAGTGAAGAGGCGGTAGAAGCATGGACAGGAGGATGAGAGGCTTCCCCTGCCCCGTAGGATCCCTTCCTCCCGGTGGGTGAAGACTGGCCTGCACCCTATGTTGGATTTCCATCTCCCGTCATCCCTGGGCAGACAGGGATAATCTATGCAACTGTGGGAGGTACCCTGCAGCTAGGTAATGGCCTACAGCTCTGTGCCTCTCTCTTGCCTTACTTTTGGGCCACCAGCGCTCACTGGTCTTCACCTTACTCCCGGACTGCTTGATGCAGGGCTGAGTGTGTCCCAAACTGTCACCAGCCAGATAACTGACAAACAGGCACATCATTATCAGTGTCAATTTGTAAGTACATTCTCCCTTCCCACTTATGTGTCCTGATTGAAGGAGCTCCAAAGAGGAGACAGAATTGAGATTAGCAGTGGGAAGGTCATGGAGAGAATCTGTCAGTCAATGAGACTGACTCAACCCTCAGATCTGGCCTCAGAACTGGCAGAAAGGGCAGCCCAGTATGTACCCCTTTCATCTGCTTCTCAATCAGCCTAGTCTCATATGAAGTGAGACTCCTTTCACAGCATAACCAAGAGATGCCTTACAATAAACAGAAATCAAAGTGGCCACTGAAACAGAACTGGATATTCACTGTGTTTCACATTTCGCTCCAAGAGATGCTGATGAAGAGCCAATAGGACAATGGGCAAGGGACGGTGGAGGGACCAAGGGGGAGCCACGCTGTGGTCCTAAAGGAGACTCTATCTCTATCTCCAAGCACCATTCACCAATGAGACTCATGCAAATGCTACTGTGATGCAACCTGGAGTAAGACAGCATCCAAACGTAGTACAACTGCTGTGTTGTAGGAGCAGAGTGCACAAAACTCAGCTTTTGACTGGGAGGACTTCAAGAAAGTGAAGGTGGTCTCTGAGCTGGCAGCTGACAGAAAACGGTGCTCTGATGGATAGAGACCTAGGAAGAAGCTCCTGACAGTGATACTCACATAAGCAAAGTCACATGGAGGGCCTGGGGATGTTTGCCATATCCAAGGAAGGACGTGGTTTCAGCGCAGAGACATCAAAGAACTCAAAAGAAAAGGGATGAGGACACAAGGGGCTTGAGAAATGTGGACTCCAGGCTAAGACTTGGGACCCTCTGCTGCTGATCCTGGGTTTCTGGATGGTGAAGAGACATCAGCCAAGTGGCATTTGAAGACCATAGCTTTTGTGGTAGTGGGTGGGTATTTTAGAGAAAGAGGAGAGTATGATGAAATGCGTTTGTTCAGAGATCAGTCTGGTTTAAGGTAGGTAATGAGGACTTGACCAAGATCCTCACAGACAAGTAACAGCAGAAACTTTATTCAGCTAAAATGCCAGCTAAGGGTAAGGGAGAAAGAGGACTTAAAGGTGGATCCCAAATGCTACCTATGACAGGGAGAAGACAGAAATGTGTGCAGGTATATGTGTGGGGTGGGTAGAGGATGGCTGAGTAGATGCTGGACATCATAGAGTGGCAATGCCTCTAGGACAGGATAAAAAAATCCAATATCTGCAAGAGTCAAATAATTAATGCAAGAAACAATATACAAGGACACGGGGGGCAGAGGGGACTATGGAAGATGGTGACAAGGTGTCCCTCTGAATGGAGAAAGAAAAAGAGAGCTTATTCAGCTCCAGTTGCTGGTAGCCACAGGGAAGAGGATCCAGGATGGAGAGGCCATTTGTTTTCTTTGCAAAAGACTCCAGAAATTCCAATAAATTATATATTTTTAATATATTCCAATAAATTATAATTAATTTATAATAATTGATTTATAAATTCCAATAAATTATATATTTTTAAGTTGTGAAATCCCCTGATTTTTAACACACTATAACTAAATCCACATAAAATACCTGAAGGCTCCAGAGGGATTTGGGAGGTTTGCACTCACCTAGAACACCAGACATGCTGCTCGTAAATGTGTAGTTGACGACAGGGGATTTCTCTGCCACCTCCCAGAAGTCAGAAAGGTTCCTTCCTGCAAAGATCACACCAACATCATGGACTCGTGTTTTCGAGTGCCCAAGGGTCCCCGGAGAGCTCGGCGAGGGCACCGCTGCTCACCTGCCTTCCCTGACATCACACAGATGAAGATGCAGTCGGACTCATTGGTCTGGCTCACTGTGGGATGAACCAGGACACAACAGGGCTTAGCAATGAGGCTGCAGCTGTAAAGCTTTGGTGGAAATGAAAGCAGGGCTGGAAGTGCCTAGGTCAGGAAAACAAGACTAACTCCGTACTCCCGAGGCAGCTTGAGTTTCTGGTTTCTTTTGGGTTCGTTTGGCAGGGTGGTGGAGAGGGAGGTGGTGCAGCATGGTGTGGTCGCCAGGAGCGTGGCCTCTGGGGTCCATTTCTGCCTCTTCCTAGCTATGCACCGCACAAATGAGCGAACTGCTTGGCTTCTCCAGGACTCCATGTACCCATCTTTAAAATGGTGAAAATTTAAATCCCATAATCTTTTATGTGCAATTCCCAAATTCCCAGATCTCTGTAACTGGAAAGCTTATGAGTTTGGTACCACCATTCATTTGGTGGCAAAATCTGTCTCGCCAGGCATGAGGCTGATAAAGTCTTTATCCATTCCACTTAAAGGGCCAACCATTGTGCTAATGAATGGAAATGTGTTTGGTTGCAGCAGGCTTCCCTGGATGTTGCTGGAGATGTTGTAGCAATATGGTGTAGACACTCAAGCAGACTTTCAAAAACTGAACCCTTCTGAGTTCCTAAACAGAATTGTCCCCAAGGATGCTGCTTAACAGGCTGTGAACATGTGGCTCCATGTTCCTCATGGGATGACCATGAAGATCCAATGAGATAATGTGTGTAAAGCGCTGATAGAAGGGCATGGTGAATGGTCATAATAATAATCAGTGTTATTGTTCGTGTGATACAATTAGTGTAGTGACCAAAGCAGGAGCTGAGAGCCAGATTTCCTGCATTTGAATTCTCTCTGTGGAGTAATCGTAGGCAAATTACTTACCATAGTTTTCTCACCTGTGAAATGGGAATAAATACAATAGCTACCGCATGAGATTGTAGCAAGAATCTAATGAGGGAACGCATAGGAAGCCCTTGGGAGAATCCTTGAAACCCGATGGTATCTCGTGCAGTTTCTCTCTTGCTCTCTCCAGCTTATGCTCTTCCATAGTACAAAGCATCATCTTTCTGCTGAGATTGACTGTTGGGCTGTTGTCTATATCTGTGTTTTTCAAAGCGTACCCCTGGGGAAGTGTGACTCACTTGGGACTTTTAAGAACGCCATTATAAACAAGGTGTATCTTTTCAAACTGTACTTCAAGCAGACATTTAGGATCCATAGAGATCTGAGCAAAATGATAATCTTCCTTGGATCTCGCTTTCCTCATCTTTCAAAGGGAAATCCAGCCCTCCACCAGAAGCTGTTTCCTTAAGGCTGCCTTCATTCTCCTAACTCAGCTGTTGGATTTGTCCTCCAATTTCCTGGATCCCAGGAGTAGCTCTGATTGAAAGATGGTGCCTCCAAGTACTGTGTTAGAAACTAGACCACCCTGGCCCTTCGTCTAAATAGAGCCTACATAAGACTTCCTGAAAGCCTGACCTGCCTGGGGAAGCCAACTCTGCCTGACTCTGTTCTGTGGGCACCTTCCATTGGCATACCTGAGAGGAGGGAGGTGGACCTGAAAACCTCTGTGAGGGAGCCAGTGGAGTTCTCCGTGATGTCTATGAGGAGGGCTGTGAAATCTGCAAGACAGATGGGAGGTCTTGATTTCTAAATCAGAGACTGAGGGGAAATGTGTCGCATTTGGGTTTTCCAGACTAGTTTTGACAAGTTTGATTTAGTTCAATGTATTGAGTGATATTGAGAATCATATCTAGAAAACCTACTAATTCTAAAACAAAATTAAGAGGTCAATTTCAAGTGGGCATGAAACTTTGGGATCCACTGTTACCATCCTTTTTCTCTTCCATTCCCCTCTCCCCATTCCCCTTCTGTACTAACACCAAAGAGCCACAAAATGCTGCATTTGCTGAATAATGGTTTTTTTCCATCACTTTAATTATTTTAGAATACTAAATTCACATAATATATACATAAGTATAATTCTTGGGATTTTAAAATGCAATGTCAAATTTAGTGATGGGTTATACACTACCAACTATCAAAAGGGATAAACCGTTAATAATATCATCAGGAACTTCTGCCCACTTTGTTAAGAGGAATGATAGAAAAGTCTGGGAAATTTTTATAGCATTTCAGGCAGTAGAATGTTTGAGAATTTTCTCTCTGAACAAGGTTTGGTTAGGACCATTGCCTAATATGGTGGGCGTCACTGACCAGGAAAAATTCCAAATCTACTTCTAATCAAACATCTTCCACCTCCTTCTCTACTCATTTGAGGCTTTCCAGGACCCAACACATTCTTGTCTTCCAAAGCAAAGGAGATATTATTGTAGGATCATCAAATACTGATTTTCTAAGAGGACCACTGGATGATTTGCCATTGTGCCTTGTACAAACACATATGCTTCTTTTACTATAGGATTATGAATTTGGGCTTGAAAAAGCTGACTTGCAAACACAGAACCCAGATAGACAGGGAAAGGTTATCTGCAATCATTGGTTTGTGTAAGCAGCATGATTGATGGGCTGTAGACATTACCATGTGTGAGCCAGAGCCCCGATGTGATATTACAACATCTGCAGAGAAATACGTTACTCTCCTGGAGGCAGAAGTACTGGCACACCCATGCAGGTGTACACAGGTGTCCATTAGAAGGGTGGAAAAGGTGGGCATCCTGATTTCTATGTCACATGGATGAAACTGAAGAGAGGTAGTGCTGTATGTCATTACTTCTTCCATCTATGTTCTTTCTATTTCTCAAACATCTCCTTTGCTTATTAAGTAATGTATCTAATAAATATTCACTGGATGTTCACAGAGTGGCAGACACCTACTAGGTCCTGGAGAACTTTGTGAAACATACAAAGCTAAAGTTACAGAGAAAGAAAGATTCATAAGCAGGCCAGTGAATCCACTATTAAATATTTTTGCACAAAAGCTATGAGCAAGATGTGGGAGCCAGACACCAACAATGAGACCAGGTTCTGCCCAAGGATCAGAGAGAAGGAGTGACCTCCCCAAGGTCCTGTAGTATGTGGCAGAGCTGGGGTGTGAACTGAGGTCTGCCTGGGCCAAAGCTTCCCTCTTCCCGACAGCCCCACTCCCACTTCTGAGCGTGCACCCTCTTGCTCAGCACCTGCTATCATCTTCCCTTTGGGAACCACTATCCCATCTGTTCATTAGACTTGGAAGAAAACCAGTCATCATGACTTCAAGGTATCCTTTGTTCTGATGAATCCATCTAATTTGCTAGCATTGCACATAGATGAATTATTTCTGATTATCTTCATGTACAAATCGAAGCTAAGGAAAGCCTTTTTAATTTTTGCCAATCCAGTTGGTAATGATTTAAGCCTTTCTCTTAATACTCAACGTTGGCAATGGTGTGTGAAAATTGATGCATTCAAACTTTGCTGACAAAAGTGTAAATTTGTGAAAGAGTTCTAGAAGAAAATTTAACAGTTTGAATCACCACAAAACTGTTTGCCCATCAGCCAACAATTTTCTTTTGAGGGCTTTATCCCGCAAATGTAAGTGGGCAAGCACTCCAAGTGACTGCACACAGATGCCCATCACATCACTGCTCATAAGTGTAAAAATATCACACATAAGCTATGCGTTTACCTCTGGGAGACAAGTTAAATAACAAATTAATAACTTCTTTCAATGGCTACCGTAAATTCATATGAAAGAGGAGGCATATTTATAGATATGGGAATGGATCATTTTTAAGATGTACTCTCCCAAATTCCTCTAGTAAGAGAACATCAAATCAGCTACATAGTGGTTTAATACACTAACTACATTCTCAAGCTTGCTTTGCAGATTTGTGTGGCCATGCTACTAAATTCTAGCCAAGGGCATGTGAGAAGGAGAAATGTGCAAGTTTCTGTGCTGTGTGTTTACATCAAATGGGGTTGCCTTCTGATTCCTTCCTCCCTTCCTTGCAGTTGAAGGTGGAGAGCAACACCTTGTAGAAGGCAGGCCACAGACCGACAGGGTGGAAGGAGCCTGGACCACCCACCCTACCATCAAACTTTCAGAGTCTGCTGACATCCTTACATAGTCATCTCCACTTCCGGAAGCCAGGCTGCTTTGGGATACTCATAGTAGCCCAGACTATCTTCTAAAATGTATTGCTGGGTATAAAGGATGGATGGGTGAGTGGCTGGAGTAGACGGGGAGGTTGGAGAAGTAGGTTTTTTGACAGGAGGAATGAATGGGTTAGACACGTAGTTTAGATAGCCTTGCATAATGTTCATCAAACATAAAGAGTGATTACCTATGGATGTTGGAACATCAGGTATTTTGGATTTCTTGGTTATACTTGTTCATGTTGCATAGCATTTTGACAACACAGTACATTGTTTTTTAAAAATCAAGAAAATTTAAATCACTTAATTTAAGGGAAAAAGGAGAATATATGTAAACATACATTCCAGGGAGGGCTGTATGTTAGAATTCAGAGTATTCAAAAGAAAATGATCTGACGACTATCCACAAAAACATCTTCCTCAAAGATTTTGAGTAATGGTCAAATGTACAGGATCTCACTGTAAAAATCTGAGGGGGATCAATGCCAGGTGTGTTGTTCCATGTTAAATTGTGGGGCCATCACCGTGGCTTATCAGAGGCATGGCAAGCTACTCATCCATGGATGCTGATCTATAGGATGAATTCAAATAGTTATTTCAAGAGTGTAGAGATGTGCTCTGCCTGGTGGAGCAGAATGATAAACTTTCCCAAGGTAGATGGGACTTCTTAAATTTTATTTTTATCTTTTACTCACTGGGGAAGGGATTCACCCAGCACAAAGCTTGGGCCTCAGCAGGAGTTAATGAGATGGTGAGAAAAATGTGATTATGAAGCTCTTTCTTCCTCTCAAATGTAGTTTTTGGTAAGATTCACAGGGTGCATTTAATAAGATAACAGATGTCAAGTACTCAGGCTGGTAAATAGTACTGATATTATAGTAAATATTAGTAATTATTATCTTTAAACTTTTCAGTGTTTGATTTAGAAATTCCACTTTGGGTAATCTATCTTCATAAAAGCATCTGAAACAAGAAATTTTATATACCAAGATATGCAGGACCATTTACATTATAAACAACCTAGAATTTACTCGGAAGCATGGCTGCAGCATGCTAGAAAAATGCTTGCATTCGTCGATTACATAGCCATCACGAATGCTTACAAAGAGCTTTTAATGCCATGGAAAACGTTTTCATATTTGGTTAGGTGGGGAAACAAAACTGGAGGCTCTGGTTGCCTTTGGCCCTTGCTTCACTCACAATCTACTCTTTCACTAGTAGTCAGAGCAATCCTTTTATGCATGTAGTTGAAATCTTGTTGCTCCTCTGTGCAAACAATCACTTCAGCTTCCTTGTTATTCACAGTGAAAATTAAAATACTTGCAATGGACCATAAACCCGTGTATGACCTGGACTACAAACTGCCCACCCTGCCTCTCTTGAATTCATTTCTCAGGATTCTGCCTTGCTCATTCATCCCAGCCACATTGGCCTGTTCAGTCCTCACTGTGCTGCCTAGGCCTTCGCTGGAGCACTGTTCCAAGAGCCTCAGTGGCGCCCCCTGCTGCTGAAGATGATGCCTCATTTCCTTAGAGAGCTCCCCACCACTCAAGCGTGGAAGCATTCCCCACCATCACGTCTGTTTTTTCCCTTCTCCCTGCTTTTTGGCCCATGGTCAGGCTATTGGTCCCTTTGAATTTGCAGCTTACTTTTTAACTTTCCATCCCCTCCTCCGGAATCTCAGTTCCATGCCATCAGGGATGTGTCAGAATTGCTTAAAGCAGAGTCCCATGCGTGTTCAGTAAAGAGCTGGTGAATGGATGAATTCATGGCTAGAGAGTAATTTTTACTCCTATTTTTTGGATGCTTGAAATATAAGGAATGTGTAATACTTTTAATTTTTAATTATACAAGTAACACATGAATTCACTTTCACTAAAAAAAAAAATCCTAATAATACAAGTCCCCTCTATTCCATAGCCTTCCACTCAAAAATATGGGCCCCATTTTTTCCGAAGTCAAAATGACCATAAGAAGTAAACATTTCAAATTGATTCAGGACATCTAGGCAGCCATAACACCACAACTGAAGACACTGCTGGAAAAGGACTTCCTGAATTGCTTCAGAAAGTGGCAACAATGTGGGATAACTGTGTTTGAAGCAAGGGGGAGTGCTCTGAGTGGATTAATGGCAACGTTTCTTTTACTTAAATTTTTTCTAAAAATTTAAACATTCACTGTATATTTTGGTCACAACTCATATAGTAGACTGTTTCCCTACTGGCAGGTATTTAGTTTGTTTCTGATTTTACAATGAAAAAATGCTGCATGAAAATTTTTCCTCTTCCCTTTTATGCACTCAGCTATTTCTCTATGGTAAAACCAAGAAAAAGAAACTTTCTGGGACAATGAATGTCTGCATATTTAAGCATAGTAGACATCACTGCATTTTCCTTTTTATGAAAACAAAATATGTATATAAAAGGGCACAAGGTAAGTTGGAAACACTGCAAGGCTTATGGCTGGCTCCACCCACCTGATAGGTCATTGGTCCGATTATTGAGACAGTAGCAGAATCTTGTGGGGAATTTGGCTGGGTCCACTGTCTTCAGATTAGAAACTGTGAAGAGAAAGGATTTGCACAGCGATCCTGACACCTAAGTTGCCCTGCAACTCCTCGCCCACCACTGTTGCCAGGAAGAGGAAGAGCCAGCCTGTACTCACTGTTGTAGACAGCCATGGAAACCTTGTGGAAGGCAAAGGAACTATAGGAGGTGATGGTCAGCAGGGAGAAGAACTGCTTGCTCTCTGTCCAAAGAAAGGGAGGAAAGGAAACAGATACCAAATGCCTGCTAATGAGGCAGTAAAGAAACCACACTACAAGCAAGGAAGCAGGTGATAGAAATGAACAGTATTATAAACAAATGACAAATATAAGCACTAAAAGGACAAAAGTTAAAAATAAGAAAAAGAAAAGCAAACCAAAATAAGAAATATAAAACCAAACCAAGCCCTTTTGGCCGGATGTTCTATCCAGAAGCTCTGGCAACTTCCTCAGAGTCCAGGTGTATTTAGTCTCCTGAGGCTGCCATTACAAATTCTCACACACTTGTTGGCTCAAACTACAGCAACTCAGGCTTTCAGTTCTGGAGGCCAGTGGGAATGCTAATCTAGGAAGGTGGGAATGTCCTGGATCCTGAACTGTAATGAACATCTCTAGTAACTTTTATTTGTGTAAGTTAGTACCGTGTGGAGGAGACAGGGCTACAATGGCCAAGCCTTTGGGTTTTGGTGCATGTAAGTCACCCATGGAGTCCATTCTGCCTCAGCTTCCAGAGAACAGCTCCACAGAGACCCTGATGCCGTACACTGGGTAGAGCTAGGGTCTGTGCCTCCTAAGCTCTTCGGGAGAATGGAGTATGCAACAAAGCTTGAATATCCACTACTCAGTTCCCTCCCATTTCTCTGATGGCAAACATCACCATTGCCACTTGGTAAAAACGCACATTTGAATCCCAGCTAAAACCAACTGAACCAGAATCCCCAGGGCAGGGATCTGGGAGCTGTGCTATGTAATAGGCTCTGCAGGTGCTTCTTACCACGCAGCAAGTTTGGAAAGCTTTGGGCTAGATCATGGGCGTAGGCTAAAGTGACCTGAATTCCAGTCCTAGAGGCAATGCCAATGCTTCAATTTCTGCATCTGAGAAGTGGGCCTGACAGCACCACCTCATGGCAACATGCTAGGACTAAATAAGGTCTTGAAGCATGCTCCTTGGAGGTATGAGCCATGGCTTTGGAGTCTCTGCCCCATTCTGAAGCTCCTGCTGCAGAGCTTTGCAGAGGGCAGGACAGGGCTAATAGGACTGCAGGAGTCCTGCCAGGTTACCTGATGCTCCAGTCTTTTCCCAGTCCTCACAGTAACTGGATCACTCCCAGCTTACCACAAGCCTCCCAAGTTACCCCAGTGATGGCAGCTCTCCAATGAGCAACGAGAGCAGGACTTGCATCTTTGAGCTCCAAGCATTGAGATGGAGAGGGACTAAGTGAATAGGTATAGAGCCACCATGTAGAGATGTGCAGTTTGTACATTGCATGACCCTAGAGAATGCCATTCACATTGACCTTTGTTTTGAATCAGCATTCCTCATCCTTTTTATTTTGCATAGCACTTATCATTTCCTCCTTCCTATGCTTACTGGTTTTTGTTACCTTTCCACATATTAGAATTTGAGGTCCCCCAGGACAGGGATTTTTATCAGCTTTATTCACTGTTTTACCCTCATGGCAAAATAGTGCCTGGCACATGATAAATAATTATCTCTAAATATTTATTGGACAAAGTGGGGTATATATATATATATATATATATACACACACACACACACACACACATACATAATATAGGAACTAAGGGATACACTCTGGGGATCTTTCATTGTTTGCTGTTATTTTGCAAAGTTCTACTTCTAGATACCAATCTTCTGGCTTTGTTAGAAAATATTCACAAACTCATATTCATTATTTGCTAAATAAAAATTATTTTACTGGAAGCTAAAAGGACATAGAAGATTGGAATGATATTGTAAGCACTTTGTAGTACTCCATTTTTCAAAAGAGAGAAACACAGGATCACATTAAGTTAATGAATAATTATTGCTAGTTTGTGTCAAAAGCTTTGTGATTACACCACTGCCCATTGAGCATGTTTAGAGTGTGGTTTGCTTTGGGGATGGTTGGGGACCACTACTCCACCCTGATGCTTTCAGTCTCATGGTGGGTTAGGCAGGAGAATGTACTCTCCACCCTCAACCCTGGGAGAATGAGACACAGAGGAGTGATGCATCCTCCCCAAGTCACAGACAGGCCCAGCAGACAGGCGTGTACAGGAGAACAGGCCTGCGTGGTATGGACAGGTGGTTTACCTTTGAAAGCTCTGCTCAGCATCCTGTTCACAAACTCCGTCAGGTTAAGTGCAGACAGATCCACAGACCTTGCGGGCAACTCTGGAAGAGATGCAAGGACAGGGTCGGCAGCAGGCTTTTCCCAGCAGCAGCAAGTTTCTCATTTCCAAACTCCAGGTGGATAAGCTTTCTCCTTGGACATGTGCAGAGCACATACCAAGTGCCAGGCACAAGAATCCTAAGACAAGAAGCAGTTCCTATCAGGAACTCAGGAGGCAACAGCCAAGCACAAGTGCAGTGGTGAAGACAGCACTCATTTCAGTGATTGCTTTATCTGTGCCTTTGCAGAGAGTGGAGATTGGTTGGTGGGAAGCCAGAAGAGGTCACAGGGGTTCTCCACAGCTCTGAAAGTAGAAGCCAGTACTCTGGCTGGGCACTGTTCCCTGGGAAGAGTTTTTCAAAACTCCATAATTTCAGTGCTTGGGCTCCATCCTAGCTGGGCTGGACTACGACACAAACATCAGTTTTGAAAAAGAATCTCCCCAGGTACTGGTAAAGTGCAGCCTTGGTTGGAGACAGTGTTGGGTTAAGACTCCCCCTCTCCCAGCTACTCTTGGAAGAGTGGGAAACAACAGGTGACCCGGTGGAAACAGCAGTTGATCCTCTTCTCTGTATTCTTACAAGCATTTTTTAAAACTTTTGCTTTTTGTTCAGGTAATAATTTGAGAGGTGGTGTCATCCCCACTGTGGGGCTTGGGAACAGAGGTCCAGGGGCAGGGGAGAATTTGCTCAGCAGCCGGTCCTCCATGGTGTGGGCAGAGGGTAAGCTGGAGACTCACCTGTGGAAGCGAGAAACGCCAGCCCTTCCTCCTTCTTCTCTCCTCTGAGGACAGACCCTAGGAAGGACATTTCCATGAGGGAAAAGTAAGCCCCATCCGAGCCCTGGGAGCTGGGGAAGCTTTGGAGGCTCTGCGGCTCAGCAGTGTAGTCTTACTGGGGACACTGAGGAAGGCAGGTCCCAGATCCCCTGAGCTCACACCTGACCTCCAGATTCTAATCGCCTTGGCCTGGGGTGTGCCCTAGATACCCATGCAATAACAGCTATGAAAGCAGTTACAGTGTGGAGGCTGTAATCTACCCAACTCCTTAACTTGCTTGGGAAACAGAGGCTCAGACCAAGGAAGCAACTCCTGTAACTTTATACAACACAATAGTGGTAACCGCAGTGGTGGTTCTAAGCGCGGATGCTCAGACCCTGCCTCCTAAGAACCTCAGAGGAATGTCTCTCCCAGAGCCTCAGGTCCCTTGCCTACCATAGTTGGCAAATTGTAAACTATCAGATGAGAAAATATCAAAGGCAATTAAAAAATATCAATGGCATTCATTCATTCATCCGTTCATTCATTCACCTAACAGATACTCGACGAGGGCCTAGCATTATGCTAGGTGTTGGGTGTGAAGAGGTTAACTGGAAGTGATCTAGTCTCCACACAGAGCTTCCTGTCTGTGGGATCGGCAGGAGGACAGTCATAGGGAATGACAGGTGAAGAGCACCAACACAGAACCTCAGGTGCCGTGAGCATTGTACCAGGGCCTCTTCCTGGGCTCAGTTATCTCCAGTTGGAGGAGGTATAATCGCACTGCACCTGCGGCCATCACTGCTGCCCAACTGGATTCATGTGCACTCAGATGGAGAGGGGCTTTGTGGCCATCTTACAGAAGGAAGGGCGGGGTACAGAGAGCCTGGAGAGTGCACCGACCATTCCAGAGCAGGGCAGGGATTAGGGCTGGACGACTTACCTTTTGGGCCAAGCAAAGCCTCATCTTTTTCCTTCTTAACACCCTTGATTCCAGACACTGGAATAAAAGTCCTCATCAGTCACATGGTAACCTGGAAGTGCAGCTCACACAACCCACAAAATCCTCAAAATCATCTTGCCCAATGCTCCCTGGAAGAAGGAGGAAACTAGGACCCAGAAAAGTGAAGAGATGTGCCTAAGTTCTTCCTGGGGCTAGAGGCTGAGGGAAGACTGAAACACAGCCCTCACTCTCTGTCCCTGTTACTTTCCCCTGCATTTCACTTCACTTGATGTCACTTTATTGAGGTAAGAACATGTAATGTAAGATCTACCCCTTCACTAATGTTTAAGTGCACAATGTAGTGATCTCAACTATAGGCACCATGAGGTACAGCGCATCTCTAGAACCTATTCATCTTGCAGAACTGAAACTTCACACCTGTTCAACAACAAATTCTCCATTTCTGTCCCCTGCATCCTGACATCCACCTTTCCACTCTGTATCTGTGACCTTGAGCTGTACTTGAGATCAGGCAGTATTTGGCCTGCACTGCCTAGCTTCTTGCACTTAGCATGGTGTCCTCCACGTTGCTGAAAAAGGTGAAATTTTCTTCTTCCTAAAGCTGAACCTTATTCCTGTGTGTGTGTGTGTGTGTGTGTGTGTGTGTGTGTGTGTAATTTTCTTTATCTGCTCATCCAGTGATGGACATTTAGTCTGTTGTTATGGTTAGAGTCTAGATGTCCCCCAAAGCCTCAGGTGGCCATAGGTGGCTTTTTCAGAGGTGGCTGAATCTAGAGTGTTCGATGCTGGGATTAAGGGCATGTAACCACACTGATTAGTTTGGCACCACCCTAATCCTGGAAGTCTGGACAAGAAAAAGGGACAGAAAGGCTCTGTCAAGGTGCCCTTGCTGCTTTTGCTGTCTTCTGCCACCATGAACTGTTATTCCTCTGCCATGTGCCACACTGCCTTGGAACCAGCCCATTGTGGACTGAAACCTCTACAAACTGTGAACTAAATAAACCTTTCCTTCTTTAACTTTGGATGTTGGGTATTTTGTCTCAGCAGTGAGAGAAAAGTAACTAAGACATCTGTCCCCTCTGCTTTTCAAGTACCCTGTTGAAACTGGATCCAGTCAACTGGTGCTTGCTTAATCCAACTTGACCTTTTACAAGTTATCGTGGTTTTGGGTTAAATGTCAGAGATTCTGGGGTTACAGGTAGGTGGTGGTTATGAATCCCTTAACCCACAATAAGGCTGCAGGAGGCAGAGGGGTTGTGATTCAACAAGAGGCAGTTTGAGACAGACATGAATTATGAAGCTGGCCCAAAGCTGTCAAATGACCTGTTCTGTGGCTTGGGAGAGGCCAGCTCTGCCCTGGCATCCTGAGTGGCGCTGCACCCCGCATCCACCATGTGGTGGCTGCTCTGTGATCTGAGGGAGATGTCACTGGCCTTGCTGGGTACTTGCTCAGGCAGCAGGGTCCTCGCTGAAGGTGCCACTCGTGCTGACCTGGATTCCAGACCTCCAGCTGCAGGGAGGGGGCTTGTGGGATTCTTACACCTTCCAGTCACAGTGATGGACACAGGCCGGTCTTCCTGACCAAACATCGTTCTTCACCAGCAGCCCTGTTACCACCTATTTCCACCACCCCTTTTTAAAATTACAAATCCTTGGGCAGACTTGGTAACAATCGTTGAAGTGCAAGCTAAACACATCTTAAAAAACACATACCTCTCAATAAGACATTATATGGGAGAAATTTTCAAATAAATTGCCAGTAGGTTATATAAATTCATTGTTCTATTTACGATAAAAGACCTTTAAAATAGAAGGTACTTTACACTTTTCATAATTCACCATGCTTAGCATCTTTTCACCTTTTATCCTTTATCATTATTAGTTCAGGAACTGTTCTCATTTAAAGAGAAGAAAATAGAAGTCTCAAACACAGTAATGATCTATGGGAAATGATCCTACTTATACATAAATATTAGTACAGTTGCTGTCCTTGGGGGAAGAGAGACAGTTAACTGGGGAGCATGTTTACTTTATGTTTTTGTACTTTTCCTATGTGAATAATGTGACTGTTCCAATCATTTAAAACAAAACTTAGAAAATAAAGATTAACTTCTACTCCTCCAAAATGAAGCATATCAAAAAATTATCCTGCCTGTTTATCAGAAACATAAGAGCAAAAATACAGTCTCTGACCCCTCTGTCCTTATGGTTAAAGGTGTTCACCATCCGACAGCACAGCTGATTTCGTACCATCCAAAAAGGAAAGGCAAAGAAAGATGAAATTATCACAAAGGTGATGCTGGAAAACAATAATATCTTTCATTGTAATATCGTCTATCACTGATAGACTGTTACAGTCTACGTGGATTTAATAAGATCCTGAGAATCCAAGTATTCAATGAACCATAAAGTATAAGAAGCTCATAAAACTATTACCATGACTGTGAGAGTGTTCAATAGAGGCGGGATTTATGGCAAGTGATGGGAAGGCTCAGAGAGGTCAAAGGATTTGCCCAAGAACAGAGAGCTAGGAGGGATGACCTGCTCATTTACCTGTTATACTGGTAGGCAGGACGGTCATTCCCTTCTCTTCCTTGGCTTCTCCTCTAATGTCAGGCACTGAAGTAAAAACAGATTTCATCAAAGAAGCTATAACTCAAACATAAAATCAGAGAGAATTTAATCCAAATTATCTTTTGTAGATGAGAAAGTTATGATCTGGAATTGTGATGTGATTTGTTTAAAATCCCACTTTAGTTTGCTGATTCATTTAATCATTATTCATTTAGTACTTACTGGAGAACTATGGTAACATTAGTGATTGACAGTGTTACTGAGCACCAGGATCTGCTAGGTGTTGTGTGTGTTGAGGAGGCAGACATAAAACAGTGAAGGAAAGGATAAAACACAAACAATGTTGAATACTTGCTTAACAAGTATGGGGACTGTGAGGGTGGGAATGTGGCTCATGAGTGGATCATGAATAGACAAGAGAAGAAACAGAGAGCTGTTGAGGAACTCCCTCAGAGGTCCAGGAAGCAGAGGATGGTGCCTTGGGCAAGCATAGTAACAGTGGAAGTGGAGAGAATTCTGTGGCATAATTGAGATTCCACCACAAAAAGTCAAGGGATAAAATCAGGAATGGAATTTGTGATTGCTATTTTCATCAAACGCATTTCAGATTCTGCGTTGAAATGTTGGCTAGTGAGATTCTTAAGGAGCAATGACTACCCACATATATAGCTGTGGCAGAGACACTTATGGAGCTGGCCAGACCCACCTGTGTTCCACAGGAGCAGGACACTGGCCAGGCTCATGCACAGCCTCATGGGAAGACCATGTAGCAGGAAGCTCGGCATGGTGTGGTGCTCCAGGCCCCTGGAAGCAAATAGGCAATCAATAGAGGAAACAGTCTTCATTGTCTAGCACATTGATGAAGAATATGCCTTGAGAACGGTACCCAGGAAGTCATTACATTATGAGGTATGATAAAAATTCAGTGAATGTTTGCTTCTTTTTTAAATATTACAGTAAAAGACACTTATTAAGCCCCCTCAATTCCTCCCCCTCACTTTGAACACACTTATCCCATCATTCTTGCCACTTTCTGAAGTGGTTCTGGAGGTCCTTTCTTGAGTGTCTTTAGTTGAACTATCCTGGCTGCTTTGGTGTCCTGAATTGATTCAAAACATTGTCTTTACGATCATTTTGACTTTGGGGAGGAGTCAGAAGTCACATGGTGCCAGATCCGATGAATAAGATAGACAAGAGCAGAGTGTAATATTTTTACAGGCCTGCCTTTTGGTTGCATGGCGCTCCACAGCAGCATTTTGATCACACCTCATAAACACATGAACAAGTATTTTCAGCACTGGTTCAGCAAGTAGCAAGAATTGTAGGATAAGAGTATTTGAAGTAATAAGAAGTATTTTGAAGGGGTCAAATGGCCATATGTCTATTGCTGTAAGTTTTAGAAATTTAAGTATTCACTGTATGTTTTGATCATCTTTTGTAAAATCTGAAAAAGATTTTGTACTAATTAAAATAGATTAGGTTATGCTGAGATTAACCTCACAATCCATTTGCTTACTGCAAAAACAAAGTTGTTTCTTGTTTATAATCCATATTGACTGTAAACAATTTGATAAAGAGCTCTCTTGCGCACAGTCATTGGGGGACCCTTGTCATGTGGTAGATCTCCATCTAGTAGCCCCAAAGCTGTGTGACCGATTAGCCACTGAGTCATTGTGGCAGTGGAAAGGAGAGAGGTGGAGGAGTACACACCAACTCCTAACTGCTTTGTTGGGAAGTGACAAGTTCACTCTTAGTTACAGCCTATGCCAAAATTATACCTCTGACCCTGCAGGACTGGAGGAACCTGGGAATGTGGGAGAGGGCTGCATGCATGAGCAGGGAGCATTAATGTCTATTCCTAGAGACCATCCCTTTCTGGATGGGCAATATGCTCCAAAAGCAGCATCACGACACACATAAAGAGGAAAATACTTAACACGTGAACACAGGTGAATGTTTGAAAGCTTTTCCATCTCTGCAGCTCCCCATGCCAGCCGTTCTCCTGGGGATTTGCTATGCAGAATCAACATAGTAGTCAAAGCTGCAAAGCTGAGACTAACGAGAATAACGGTGAGCATTTATTGATCATATTTATGTCACACAGAATGCTGTCCAATGAGAATTATCACTCGATAACTATGTGGAGGTGTTTGTGTAATACCCATTTAACACACTGGGTGAACAGACTTGATTGGAAAGAGCACAAATTTGGTTTTGGTAGAATATGGAATAAATCTTGAAAATGACTTGGGAGGGGAAGAAAAATGAAGAGAATGTGCACTGGGGCTTGGGAAAAATATTTCAGGAACTTTACATCTGCATGGAAAATTGCATTTGAAGAAGTTTTGCTCCATTAGGAATAGAAAGCCACTGTGGGGTTTTCTTGAGATAGCTCAGCAAACATTTTGGCAGATTTTTAATGATTGGTATGTACCTCATTGGTGTTTGTTGTAAATGCCATCCAAGACAAAGATGGGCCTTACAAAGAAGCAAGAAAGGGCTTTCTTAGAGTTTTCTTATTCTTGTAAATCTATTTACTGTCTGAATCTTAGTTTTTATTATCCGTGAAGTAGTGATAAGAGAACTTAACTCACAAGGTCTCTGAAGATTTAAGATAATGAATCCACACCACTTAACCCTGGGTCTGGCACATGGTAACTCTCAGTTCTCACAGGAGGTCCCCTGGTCAGTTTGGTAAAGCCTTAACAGACTGCTGCTGACTGACAACTTAGGAAGAACATACATTTATTTCTCACACTTACAGATTCGGGACATTCTAAGAGCAAGGTGCTGGCATCCGCTGTGGGCTTCTTACTGCAAGCTCCCAAGGCAGAAAGCAGGAAGGCAGGAGAGCCCAGACCCACTCCCCAAAGGTCTGCTTAGAGAGGCTTTAATCTGGCCATGATAGCAGGGCCCTCATTACCTGTACTCCTCCCCAAAGCCCTCCCCTGTGTCCTGCCACAATGCTGTTGGATTGGGACTGAGTTTCCAGCACAAGAATTTTTAGGGACAGATACAAACCAGAGCACCAGGGATCACTCTCAGGTTGGTGACACAGAGAGGGACTCATCACTGACTTTCCCTTTCAGTTGTTTAGTGACTTGAAAGAGATAGATGCGTGCCCAACTCACCCTTGCAGAAGAGCGGGGAGACAGAGAGAGAAAAAGCTCAATAGAGAAACAAAGAGAAAGAGGTTGGTGAGCCCAGGCATTCTCCTCAACAAGGAGGTAGTGGGCAGGTATTCTGTCAAGATGTGCAAAGGTTCCTTCCCTTGGTACCTCAATCCCAGTGGGACATAGCCTCCCCTTTCTGAGCCTTGGGTGTAAAACGGACAGTCAGGGTTACCTTGAAGCTGTTTCCTGAAGCTCAAATAAGATCATGAAATACAGTACCTCATGTGATCTCTGAAATAGAGTGCATATTCAGAAAGCTTAAACCCTTTCTCATTTGCTTATCTTTTTCTCTCTTTTTTCCTCCTCCTCTCCTTCCTCTTCTGTGTCCATTCTGGGGCTCGGCATCATAGTAGAGACCCATGGCAAGAACAAATATAAATTATATTAGAAAAAGTATTTCTCTCTATCTTTACAATGGATACAGATTCTGCTTCATTGCACTAACCACACTCTTCCATTAACATACTAGAAATATTATTCTGAAACTACAATTTCTATTGATGTTGTTTACAGAGAAAAAAGCTTTTTTTCCTGCAGCTCAGGTTTTAATTCTTTGCCAGTGGTTGAAACTATGTGTCTGGAATAAGTTTGGCAGATTTAGCAAATGTAAACACAAGGCACCCAGTTCAACATTCACTTGAGATAGACAATAAATAGTATTTTAATATATCTCATTTGAAACAACCCTTGTCTGGAGAATCGGAGGGTTTTATTGGAGAACTTCACACAGCTGATGGGTGGGCTTGGCCTTGTGACAAAGCTGAGGACTTCTGGTCTCCCTCACTTCCCCCTCTTGCAAGCCTGGAGCACTTTGGGACAGTCTAGGGTGGGGAGGAGGTAGATGTGTTGGCTACTGTGGTATGGGTCTAATTGGACCTTCATTCACTCAAAAGAAATAATAATTTTGGGCACATGGCACAGTTGGACCTATGGCATAGTTGTTGCAAGCATTGTCTCTGGGGTCAAACTACTTAGGTTTGGTTAATGGCTCTGCCATTTGCTAGGTATCTAGGTTACTAAAACTCTCCGTGCTTCGGTTTCCTCACTTGAGGCTGTCATAAGGACTAAAGCATGTGATATGTGTAAAATGCAATGGCCAGCATCCGGCACAGAGCAAGTGCTACAAGACCATTTAACAAATAAACAAAAGTGATGGTGCTTAATGAAAGATGGTGTTCTAGTAGGCAAGCAAGACAATGTTGTCCATGTGATGGAGCTACACTCCTCAAAGTTATATTCTCCAAAGACTTGATCAGCTTTGCAAAAATTTCCCCTACAACTGAGTTATTATTTCACCGCATCCCCATGGCTATTACTTATTATTTGCAAAACATGACAAAATGTTGTTTCTCCAAAGGCACTTGCAGAGAAGTACGTCATGTAACACTGTGACAAAGGTAATGTATCGAGACATCAGAATAACCCACCCCAAAACCCGACGCTGTGGAATACGGATTATTTTGAGCTGAGGGCCACGCGTGCAGAAAAAAGCTTTCTGAGGTCCCCCTGTGTGTATGAATTTCTAAAAATTACAGACTGTCATTAATCCCTTCTCCCAGGAGAGTTTCAGAGCCTTGAAGAACACAAAAAGTTGGCAGGAAGCTGGACCCACACAAGTCAATCTGCATAAAAGAATTCTTATCTTCTGTGAGCTTCCCCATGTACTCAGCTTCCCACAGTGTACCACCTGCAGAGGCTCAGAACCTTTCCCCATAAATTTATTGACCTTTAGTTAAAATGATGTGTAAGCCACCTTGTCTGATTGCCTCTTTGGGATTTTCATTTCATTTCTCTGAGGTTTGTCATAGCATATAAAATGAACCTTTCACTTCTGTTAATCTATCTTTTGTCAGTTCAATTTTCAGAGCCCCATGCAGAGAACCTAAGAGGATAGAGGAAATAGGTGTTTTCCCCCTCCCCACAGTACAATGTATTAAACCTCCACCCTGGACACAGTGTCTATTATTTTACTTTCTCCAGCTTCTGTTGGAGAGAGACATAGGTAGATCCCGTTACACAGAAAAAGTCCTGAGGATCAGAGGTGAAGTTCGTCAACCCATGGCCACATGTCTTCTAAGTGGAGAACTGGGATTTGAACTGTGGTCTTCCAGACACTAAAATAAAGTCTGGGACCCCTTTTACCTTACTCCATTTTACTCTCCTGACTACAAAATAGCATCTTACAGTGTCACTGAAGGGATCTGATGTTGAAAAAAAAAAATAGGTCATTCCAAAGCATTTCGGTGAGCAGGATGGGTTAGAACTCCACTCGCACTCCCAGGAGCAGGGCTGAGAGGTGCAGTTGTGACTGATGAGCCAAGAATCTGCCCAAGAGCCTCCTGAAATTAATTCACAACATGTCACATTTTATCAGCACCAGTCTTGGAACTGGGAATAAGAATGGCTGGGTCTAAACCTCCAGGGTCTTAATTAAACTTTGCACTAATTCCAATTAGCAGACCTCACAAATCAGCTGACAGTTTAACCTGACAAGCAAGCCTGCCTTTCTCACTGTACTTTGCAGCTGAAAGATGCCCATCAGATGCAGAAGAGTCATGATGTGGAGTGGGGTGGAGAAACTCACACCTGGTCCTGCAGCCCCAGTGAGTGCT